CGGACCAGACCCGTGACCTAACCCGAGACCATGAGAGCCGGACCAGACCCGTGACCTAACCCGAGACCATGAGAGCTGGACCAATGACCAGACCCGAGACCATGAGAGCTGGACCAGACCCGTAACCTAACCCTAGACCATGAGAGCCGGACCAGACCCGTGACCATGAGAGCCAACATGGAGAAGTTAGCTTATAAATGTAAAGTAAAATGATGTAGCAATGAAACATAATTGAAATGTTCTAGATGTGGTTGTGAATGTGATGGTTTAAGTGTACCAACTAAGCTAAACCAGGTTGGATGAGGGAAGAGCTTATTCGAAGATATCCAAATCAATTTGACATACCGGCTGAATCAGAGATTCATCATTTGGTTACTACATTGACAGCAAAACATAAAGTGGGCACAATAGTATTGTTATCTTCCAACATGGGATTTGGAATTATATATATAAAAGAAATCATTAGTTTCAATATTGTGTGAAACTAACGGCACAGTAAAGCCCAAAGAAGCAGGTGCACGATGCATTAAAAGATGACTTCCCTCGCAATTCTCAAATTAAAAATGCCATTTCTGCAATGAAGAGTAAATATAAGAAGGATGGTATACTACCCAGTATGGTAACATCATAGTATAAACCACATAGATTACATCATGTTATATTTTCATTATTATTTGGTTGTTTTTTGTTGTTGTCTGTTTTGTTTTTCATTTTAGAAGTTGTGCTGAGCTTCGTTCATTATGATTTATCAAAATAACCCCAAATCATCAGTTTCCGGAATGGTCCCTCCGTTGACCATCCTAGGCCCGGTACTAAAAGATGCTTGGCTGGCTCGTGCGATTAGTGTTAAGTTTATTTCTGTTTAAATTATTTCATGAGGATATGTGAAATACTGTGAAATAAAAAAATGCTACTCTAAAAATTCATAAAAAATCTCAAATATAAAGACATCTGTTCCCTTTACATTTCCACCATTCTTGATCAATCAGCTCCAAACTTTACACAGTGACATAGGATGAAGGGAATGGGGGTTGGACTCCCATCTTCTATATAAACAAATGTCAATATGTGTGTGTATCTGTTCCTTATACATTTCCACATTTCTTGATCAATCAGCTCCAAACTTTACACAGTGACATAGGATGAAGGGAATTGGGGTTGGACTCCCATCTTCTATATAAACAAATGTCAATATGTGTGTGTATCTGTTCCTTATACATTTCCACATTTCTTGATCAATCAGCTCCAAACTTTACACAGTGACATAGGATGAAGGGAATT